TCTGATTTTCGGTAAGGAGAACTGACCTGTCTTATTCCTCTTTACTTCTCTTTTCGCTTTCAAAACCTACGTGTGAAACAATCACACGCTAAGTCGTTGACTTAGTGAGGCATATAAAACATAATTATATGCTAACTGTAACTTCTACAATGCATGAACATTTGATATTATCTTATCATACCAATGCATATATTCTTTTCTATAATATATACATACACACACATATCATATAATATAACATCATGAACATGCTTATCATTTCTCATTTTATCATCATTATACCAAGGAATAAACATATCATCATTTACCTTCTTAGCATTATCCTTAATCCCTTAGTCATATGCTCTTGTATCTAACATTCTTAACCAAACAATAAACACATCATCATATAATTCTTGTAACATTTCATATCATCAAAAGCATATACATCACGTATATTATATTTGTTTTATCTCTTTAATTAGCCCATGGTACACTTGTGAGAACTAAGGATATGTGAGTGCATTGAGGTTGTGCACAAATGCTGTCACCACATCTCGTAAAATTCCCACTAGGGGCACTGGAATTTGTCCCGAAGGACCACTATATCCCGTAGGACCACTGTATTATACCAAAGGACCACTATGTCCCGTAGGACCACTGTAACCATCGACTCTTGGCATGCCAACTATACCATTAGCTCTCATATCACATAACATGTGCAATATTATTTATATCATTTCACATATTCATATAAGCTCATAGCTTCGTTCACATATGCATGTAATCATGTAATTTCTTTCATGTAATTCATGTCACTTTTCATATGAATTCATATTCATATGTCACATAGCTCATATCACTTTGCATGGATTCACATAAACATATATATCATTTGATTCATGTCTTATTCTTATATCATCATATATATATCATCTATGTTTCATCACTTAATCCCATATCATATAATGTGCTCTATCCTCTTATGTTCACATGACATATAATGCATACAACTTATATTCACATATGTGACTCATGGATTCATACAAATCATATCATCTCTTGTTCTTATATGTTTCCAATACATCACATATATCACTAGTGCATTTTCACGTAAACATGTAAATCATGTAACATATAAGATATATATATATATATATATATATATATATATATATATATATATATATATATATATTTCTATATATTAATACACACATAATATTTTAAAAGTTACTTCTTACCATGGTAACTCCATCATTGGCTCATCATAAGCTAATGTTTGTTCAAGAACCTAAGTGCAAAATAAATTGCACTCACCTTAGCCTTGCTTTGATTCAATCCTAATCTTTTGACTATTCTGGAACTTGTTTAGGCTCAATATCTACATAAATATAACATTTCAAAACAACTATCAGAAGCCTAAACCTTAGACTTGATGTTAATAACTTAATCCGGTTTAATTAACCAAAATTCCATTTTTCATTTTTCATTTAGGGGGGAATCGATACCCCCCAGGGGGAAATCTGTACCCCCTGCGTATTCTGAAAAATCCAGAATTTTGTTGTTTAAACCCGAAAATCATCAACTCTTCACTCAATTCTTCTATTTTAAGCCCATATCATACCATTAAACTCAACTACCATCACTTAAACCAACTTATATCCATATAAACCATCTTTATCTTCCATATCTCATTATGATTCTTAAAATTAAGAATTATACCAAATTTTCCACATGTTCTAAATTCACTTCTAATACTTCATACTTCTTTATTTCACTTATGACAAGTCAAATTTGACTTCCACTTCTAATTATAAACTCTATTCCAAGATTTCATTCAAAAACCCAAAATCTTTAATCTCTCATATACCTTTCATCTTGTTGTTTTAGAACAAATTAAGCTTTCCTTAAGCTTAATTATCATCTAATAATAATAACCCAACTTTTAAATCAACAAATAATCAAGAAATCATAAAACTCAACTTTGTTTAGCTTCCACGGGGAGGAAGAAGAAAAATGAAGATGAAGATGAAATGTTTTCATCTTTCACGTTTTTATCTCTTATTAAAGGGGATAAAAATATCTTTAATGTCAAATGACCATTTTTCCCTTTAATTCCTTAGATAATTACTAACAACTTTCCGGAAATATTCCCAAATAAATCATTGAATTATTCAAATATTCTACTTTAATCACCAAATTCTGAAATTTTATAATTTAATCACTAACCCGTAATTTGGGAGGTTACATCACAGGTCATAGGGCTGAAAAATGGGACTGTGGTTCGATTAACTTGAACAAAAGTTCAAACAGGACCTCTGAAGGTCAAGTTATCTCTGGAAATGTGAAGCAAGATAATACTGGGGGAAAATCAAACAAATCCTGTGGGCAAAGCTGGACATCACCTTTAAATAATGCTTTAAAGGGTTGGGATCCTAATTGTTGTCTTATTTCTCTGGCTAGGGTTCTTGAGGCAGCAGAGAACAATCATGACATTGATTTCCCAGATATTCCTATCTCAACATCAGAGTTGAACCAGGAAAAATCTAAAACCCGGGCTACTAAAACCAAACAGTCTCTTTCTTCGAGAGCTCTTCATCAAGATTCGGGTCCTAGTTGGAGTACAGCTTCTAGTCTAGTTGGTAATGGCCCATTGCGTTCTGAAGTAGTTGGTGAATGGGGTCAGTATGCCTCCACCCCTGTGAGACATACTGTGGAGGAATGAGACTCAGATCTTGTGCTCGAGTCTTCTTTGAAACGAACGAGCTTGGGAAGTGATCATGCAGCTATTCCAAGTTCAGGAAGCGGCCAATTGACACATTCTTCTCTCACAGATCCTGCAGAAAATGCAGGTGGTTGGGATCCAATTATTCCTGACCCCAGTGAGTATTCTTTTGGCAATGAGTCGGTTTCTGATCTTTTGGCCGAAGTCGAGGCGATGGAGTCTCTTAATGGCTTGACTTCACCTATATCAATTTTACGTTGCGATGGAGAGTTGGCTCGAGGTGCTGAACCTGATTGTTTTAGCCCTGCACCTGAACCAGGAAAAAGCGATGCTTTGAGCTCCACAAATGATCTACGAATCTCATCTAAGTCGACCGTGACCAATGAGACAATTGGGACTTCTGAGTCTGAAGTTCTTGATGGTTGCTCAGAAGAATTCTGGCAGGCATTCTTCCACGAGTAGGGGTGGTAAAAAGCCAGGCCGGCCTACGGCCTGGCCTATATAAAGCTTGGCCTAGCCTGGCCTATTTAATAAAAAGGCCAGGCTCGGGCCTTTTTAAAAGCCTATTAAATTAAATAGGCCAGACTTAGGCTTATTAAAAAGCCTGATAGGCTGGCCTATTTAAAGTGACTACTTCGTAAAATACGCTAAGTTAGAGTGACTTAATAGGGACTTTACTCTAAAATTAGTGACAAAACTGGAAATATTAAATGTTTATAGTGAAACAGGCTTTTAAACAGGCCAGGCTATTAAATAGGCCAGGCTTTTAAACAAGCCAGGTCGAGCCTAAATAAAAGCCTTTGACAGGTTACAGGCCAGGCTCAGGCCTACAAATATCATTGTAGGCCAGGCTCAGGCCTATTAAAGCCTGGCCTGGCCTGGCCTATTCCCACCCCTATCCACGAGTTCTGAAAACGATGTCTCAGTTAACCAATATGAAGATGGTTCAGGCATGCAGCTTCCTGCACTAGCAGTAACAACTTGGGACATGACCGCTATAAATACAACTTGGAGAGCAGGTCGAGAAGCTACGATACCCAACTGGGAAGCCATTAAGGGAAACTTAAGTTTCAATTTGGGAGGCTCAGGTCAAGGAGCTAGGAACTTCAGTTGGGGAATCGGTCAGGGGACCTTCCAGTGCAATGGAAGCATCAACTTAGGCACTTATTGAGGAAGCCAATAGGAGGGCCTTGATTTTCAGGGAAGAGATTCGAGTTTTAGTAGGGGGATGTCCTCGATGCATAGGCACTCGAACTACGATGTTCCTCCTCCAAACGGAGTTGGTTCTTGCAGACCTCCGCCCAAAGGACAACAGGTCTGTGAACTTTATGAAAGGGGATGTTGCAATAAAGGAGCATCCTGTTGCTATTGGCACCCTAGATTATAGGTAACCACAACAATTGTGTGCATTTTGACTGTTTGTTCGCCAAAGTTTTAAACATAAGCTGTAACGGTAGTGTATCGTTCACTATTCAAGTTAGGCATATAACAATCCATATTATATCTGTACTATGGATATAAACAAATAAATTAAGGATTACTATTTTATATTAAGATTGTACTCCATAATTTATTTTATACAATGTCTATTTTAATCTTAAATATTTAAATTTAAACTCTCAATACCTAAACTTTAACGTCATAAAGTTTTAATTTTAAATTCTAAACGTAAACCTTAAATTTTAAACTTTAAGTTGAACTTTTAACCTTAAAATAAATAAATTTACATGTGTATCTAATAATTATCACTAAAATAATATTTTACAAAGCTTTAGCTTGGTAAGCATAGTAAGAGTGTTCAATCGGTTAGTTTAGTCAATGATGGAATCAAATTTATCAAAATCAAATTGATTAAAATTTGAAAATTGTCAGTCGGATCAATTTTTTTTAAAATTATTAATCGAATAAAATTTAATTAATTCAATTAATTTTAAAATTAATCAAATTTTATTGTATTAAATTTATAATTATTATTAACTATTTTTAAAAAATATATATATATATAATATTTTCTTTCAACTAAGTGTTGAGCGGAGAAAATCCGAGAAATAACTAATTTAGTTAAAATCCATCTCAAGAGCGAATTTATAGAGCAAATAACTGCCGGGGCAAAATCTCAAATTTCGAAGTCCAATGGACTAGGTTTAGCCTCAAGGCGCCGGAGATAATACCTTCAAGGTCAAATAAACACCTTGATGTGTAAAGAGAACACGAAAACTCTATAAATTGGTCAAATCCAGTCATTTGTAAGTTACAGACAAAAGCCCATAAATTTCCGAAAGAAATAGAAGAAATGGTGAGGCGGTCGAGGTTGATCCTTACACCCATGGGCGAAGTGTTGGTGTTGCTGTTGATTGGAAATACTCTGACGCTAGCCAAAGCCAATAATTCACCTTCCACCTTTGTCCAAAACGCCATCTTCCTCAACAAGATCGTTATCTTCTCCAAATCCTATTGGCCGTGTGCCATCTTCCTCCATTTCTTTTACATTTAAACCTTCCAGTAATAATAATTGAGAATCGGGTAACATAGTTATCTATTTCCCCGCATAGTCAATCTTGTTTCCACTTTTTGACCCCATTTTCTTCCTGGGTATTTCTTCAAAAGTATAGTTGAAACTTTGATTCTTGGGGTTTTGTTATTAGATAATATGGTGGGTTGCTCCTAATTCTTTCGGTTTTATCTTGTCCGTAGGTATTGCCTTCGTGCCAAGCGCATTTTAAGTGAGCTAAATGAGAAACCTTATGTTGTAGAGCTTGATCTCCGAGGTATCTGCTTCTGATTCGTTTGTTCTCTATATATGTTCAAAAAGAGTAATTTTAGATGAAGTACTGACTTGATGAGTTTTTTATTTAGACGAAGGAGGTAAAATCCAATATGTCCTTGATTTGGTAGGTCGAAGCACTGTTCCGCAAGTGTTTGTGAATGGAAAGTATATTGGAGGCTCTGATGGTTAGCTACTTTGTGTCTCCATAGTATTTGATTTTCATGACATTAGACGTATACGTATTGATTTCATCTTTCTTATTTATTTCCGATTACTTAGGTCTCGGAGCTGCAGTCGATAATAGTACACTGCAAAGGCTTCTAACTGGAAGTTGATCAACTGTTAGAAAGAAGGAAATGCAATCATTTGATCTGATTCGTGAACTACAAAACTGCTTGAGGATTACAGAATCATATCTGGGTTGTGAATTTAGTTTCACATCAAGATTTCGATGAGTGCTCTGTGATAATGGTATGGCCTTTGTGAGGTTATCTTATATTGCTTTGTCGTTATGGAGGACTCTAGTTTAGGTCTTAACTCTTAAGTACATTTTTAAATGTAGATGTTAATCTATACTTCTTTCGATGGATCCTTTTCCCATACAATTGTTCTGAGACAATTGGATTTTCGAAAGTCTGCGTTCATAAGATGCAATTCTTCTGAAATATTTTGATGTGGTTCTTTCCTGTGGTTAGCATTGATGTGTATGGCAAACCAGAAAGAGTTAACCAAAAAGATTGGGGATCTGAGTTATTTCAGTACATACATTTTTCTTGTCAAAATTGGTTGCCTGGAGAAGGTTATTATAGTGTATAACTGGCGCATCGGCGAAGCCACCCCATCTCTTCACGGGGTTCTTGATGGCGTGGGGATGATTTCCCAGTAATTAGATTTTCTAAAGCCATCTTGATTCTGACGCGTACTTACATGTTTATATGTGTATGTTTTGGTATTTCGTAGATGCATTTTTGCCCTTCGATTACATGAATGCTTAGGGCAGGTGTAGAGGACCAGAGATGCTAATAAATGATCAATTCATTGAACAATGCAATTCTTTTAATCATCTACGTTCCAAATTGTTATATACATATATATAGCCTCTGCTACAAGAACGTGTAGGGATGCTAAGGGGAAGAACTGGACGATCGGTTGCATATGTCTCATTGGTCAAGCTGGATCGTTTTACAATCACTGGTCCTAAAGAAATACCCGGCTTGGATTTTGCAATTTTTGTTTACTATTCACTATTTTTTAAGCTCAACATATAAAAACAAAATAGATTTCAAACATAAACTGAGGGTACAAGTTTAAATTCATAAAAAAATAATACTATTAGTCTTATAATTCTATTTATTTAAGTTTATATTATAACAATTTTAAAATAAAAAATAAACTTCGCATTTAGTACTTAAACTATTATTTTTGGTATGTTTTAGTACTTAAACTTTTAATTTTTTTAAAACCATACATAACGTTTTGTTTTGTTTTCATTTCATTTTAGTACCCGTCATTAAAAACTTAACTCGTTTAGTATCTAAACTATAAATTTTGATATGTTTTAGTATCTAAACTTTCAATTTGTTCAAAACTTAGTATTAAATTTTGAACGTGATACTAAAATGAAACACAAATTAAAGTTTTTAACATCGATATACTAAAATGAAACAAAAATTAAACTTTAGGTATGGTTTTAAAAAAAATAAGAATTTAAGTACTAAAAAGGAATGAAATTGATAGTTTAAGTACTCACGTAATTTACCCTAACATAATTTTGATTTGATTTCTTTTTAATTTTGGTTTGATTTGGAACATATGAAAATAAAAAACTAAAATTGAAATGTGTTGCAGAGTTGACCAACAAAACATAATTTGCAGAGTTGGCCAAAAAAGGAAATGATTACGTGCCACATTAATATAGGTTAAAAAAGTGTTATCGGTTTTAAATAATAAAATCAGTAAAAAAATTATTGTAAATATTATTGTTTCTATTAGTTTTGTTATTTTTTATATTAATTTTGTTATTATTGAATACTTTATCGAAAATGTTAAAAAATATTGATGTTTTAGATATAAATAATAATTTTTTAAATAATTTTTTATTAATTTTATTATTTAAATAATAAAAAAACTGATAACATTTTTTTTAATTATATATTAAAACTATCTCACTCTAAAATTTTCCGCCAACAAAATATAAAAGAAGCATTAAGTATTATATATATATATATATATACTAATACCAAACCAGCGTAAGAATATCAGATTTCACTTCCCAAACATACACCAAATTTGAGAAGAGAAGCCGGGCCATCGCTGGGGCACTCTCTGGATCTTCCTTTGTTTTCTCAGACGACAAAGGTACGCTCTAATCTCAAGTTTCCCATTATCGAATAATCATGATTTACCAGTTCCTACGAAAACCCTCTTTCATTTGTTAATACAAATTTCGGGCGTTTATTTTGCTTTGAATCCAATCTTCTCTCCTTCCTTAATGGATGATTGATTCGAAAAATTTATAACAAATTTTCAATCTGGTTAGGAATAATCGACGGGTTTTTCTTTCTTTCTTTTCGCAATTTTAGATCAGTTGGCAATGCAAGAACATGTAGATTCGGATCACCAGTTAATGGTAGAAGCTGGTTTCCCGTACCCTCGTAGTATGGATATTGATCCGAGAAGAGAACGGTTTCCATGCTGCATCGTTTGGACACCTCTACCCGTTCTTTCATGGTTTATTCCTTTCATCGGCCACGTTGGGATTTGCAGAGAAGATGGAACTATTCTAGATTTTGCAGGGCCTAATTTTGTTTGCGTTGACCATTTCACGTTTGGACCAGTGGCTCGCTATTTGCAAATTAACAAAGATAAGGTATAAAATTTCATGTCGTGACCTTCTTGAATCTCTTTTACTGTTTCAAAGGAAAAAGGTTACTGTGCAGGATAACTAAATGATAACTTTAGTTAAGAATGTGAAAGTAGGATTTGCTGGGGATTTGATACGGAATAACTGGAATAGACTATGAATTCCTATTATTTTCAATGATATGGCACTATGGCAGATTTCCTGAAGTAAGAATTATTGGTCCTGTTCCGTTGTGCTTTATGCGCTTACCTTTGTTGGATATTTCATAGGGAATAACTGTAATAGACAGACTGTAAATTCCAATGATTTGTGAATGCACTATGGCAGCTTTTCTGATGTAGGATTTATTGGTTCCATTGTGCTTGATGCCCTTATCTTAGTTGGGGGATCTGATAGGGAAGAATTGTGAGCGGCTACACTATCCGAATTTCTATGCTTTGCAATAATTTGTGAATGGCAGACCTTGGAAGTAAGATACACCAGTTCCATTGTGCTTTACGCCTTTGCCTTAGTTGGGGATTTGATATGTTAGAACTGTAATAGAATATAATTTCCCATGATTTTCAATAATTTGTGAATACACTATGGCAGAACTTGGAAGTAGGATTTATCGGTTTCATTGTGCTTTATGCCGTTGCCTTAGATGGGGATTTGATAGGGAAGAACTGTCCTGTAATAGACTAAAATTTCCCATGATTTTCAATGATTTGTGAAGACACTATGTCAGACATTTTAAGTTGGAATTATCAGTTCCGTTTTTTCTTTACACCTTTGCCTTAAATGAGGATTTAATTGGGAGGAACTGTAATAGACTATAAGTTCCTATTCTTTTCAATGATGTGAATGCACTGTGGTGGATTTGGGGGCAAATATTTTGGGGTGTTGGTAGTGAAGGATGATGTCCATAACCGGAAATAAGTTTGCATTGATGTAGAATATAACTTGTGTTTTCTTTTATTCATGGATGCACTTCGGTTTGGTTGATATGAGAGCAAAAATTTGATTCAGTGCCAATGACAGGAAGTGTTGATGCCAGCATTTATGCTAGCGTATTTCTTTTTCAATCATTCTGCCATAGTTAAAGATGTAATCTATGGAGTTTTTTTTTTTTTAAACTAGGAATGCAGCATTTCTACCCATTCATCTGCACTCAAAGGGGATTTTGAAAGCCATCATGATGATACTAGAAGAGAGGCATTAACATGGGATGATGCTCTTCGAAAAAGCACGATGGAGTTCCAACACCGAGCATACAGCCTTTTCACCTGCAACTGCCATTCATTCGTAGCAAACAATCTGAACAGATTAGGCTTTGGTTCTGGTGGGTGGAATGTAGTAACCATTGGCCTTCTCGTCTTACTCAAAGGCCAGTGGGTGAACAGAATCGGATTTTTGCAATCTTTCTTACCATTTGTAGTCGTATCTGGTCTTGGACTTGTGTTTGGTGGAACAACTTATCTGTTTTTCTTGGCCCTCTTTGCATACCTTCTTGTTGGTTGGTTCCTTCTTGGTACTTACTGTTTCAAGAATTGGATCCAATTGTAGCTTTTAAGTTTTTCAACTCTCCAAGCTCCATTAGCGTTGAAAGATCTGCTTGTTAATATTCACTGCTATTTATACACATGTTTCATGATTATAATATAGTATTTGTTTCAAATCTTTTTTAATCGTTGACAATGTATGCATACCCTATAAATGTAATTTTTCGAATCTAAGATATAGAATGAGAATATTACTTCATTTTACCCTTGAGATCGTTCAATCGGACGTCATGTTAAATGAGTGATATAATAATGCCTTGGTTCGGCAAAAAAACGTGGCCATTGTGGTTTTCTAAAAGTTTGGGCAGACTTTTTAAAAATCTTTTCATAAACAAGGTTGACTAGTTCAAGAATCTCCTAATCCAACGGTTGAAACAAAAGATCATACACTGATTGTTTGTATTAGCGTGTCCTTGTTTACATTGAATAAGAATCTTTGGACGTGACTTTCTGGCATGAATCAAGTGGATTTCGTGATAAATAAACTGTCATTATTCTTTGAGGACTTAGGTTTCGAGCACTATAAATGTCAGATGTGTGAGCATTTAATGTCAAATGATAGAGAGTTATCTGTAAATGGATATTGCCTTGTATTTATCAAGATTAATTGTAAAAAAAATAGAGAGAAGCATTTTTTGCGTGGCAATTGAAAGTGAAGTACTAGTTACGTATAATATTTGAATCAGCTTCTCATTTTGATGAATATGTAATGAATATGTATGCATATAAATACATAAAAATTTTCAAGCTATTTTTTAGTAGAGATTTGATTTAATTTAATTTTGAGTATTTGAAATTGATATTATTTTAAGTTTTAATCATTTAAATTTATTAAAGGTTTTAAAATGAAATCATTACTAATTCAAATTATTTTAAATTATTTATTTGGACAGTTTATCAGTAGTTAAACTATACTGTTAATTATCTAGTTATAAGTACATTTTTGTTTCAATTATCAAATTGTAATAAATTTCAATTTCTGTAATTTGGACTAAAATAGATAAATAATAAATGTTAGTGATCAAATTGAAAATTTTACATTTTCATGATAAACGCAGAAA